AAGGCTAAAACTATAAAGGACTTTTTTCCCAAGTGTCCAAGAAATGTCACCACAGCATTCCCAACTCATAAGCACTCCCTCAGATGATTAAGAGACTATACTTCCTATAACTCTTCTGACCTACCATGGACATGCCAGAAAGAGCAAGAAGCACATTTCCCCTCACTGACTCCTGTTTCCTAAGCCAATTAGGATTGGCAGCAACATAAAAGTTGCTGGTATTTTTCCATTTCCCAGATTTATCTATGGATTTTGCTCTGAATTTAGAGGAGTCAGTTGTCAGAAGAACAACACACCATCACAGCCATGGCAAAACCACCTCAGTCTTCCAGCCTGGAAAACACTAAATTAGCCCAAACATCACATTTATCTGCAGTTTCGCTTTTGACCAAAGAAAATTCAACAAAAAGAAGAAGTTATTTTAATACTGGAATGACCTCTACTACAGAACAGAAGAATTTCAGCAGGAAGATCACCCAAAAACCCCATAGGCACAGAGTGCCTCCATATTTTTTTTTCCCTCATAAAGGACAAACCTGGAGCTGTTTTCCTGAAGCTGGCAGCATTTCAGCTGACTAGAAACTTATTGAAGAGAGAAGCTGTAAATCCAGTTCCTGCCCTCCCCTGCACAAAATCACACAGAGCTATACTTAAACCATAAAACAATAAAGAATATGCAGCTAATTTGATGTTACACAATCCTAGGGGAAAAAGGGAAAGGTCTTTACATACCTCAATAGATACAAGTATCAAAATAATCCCATCAGAAAAGTTGTCTGATGACCTGGGACTCGGCTGTTTCCGGAAACTAAGGGCTGACAGGAATTATAACCATCGACAGATGCAATAAAGAGCAGGATTGCACAATTCTGGCTTTTCCAGAGGCCCAGCCCTGCCTGCTGTAAAAAATGCCTTCACTCTGGGAGAAAGTTGGAACAATCTGTTTTTCTTCTCTGCTTTTCAGCACAACTTCTTGCAAAATACAGTTTAATCCTTTTTTTTTTTTTCCTTTTTTTTTTTTTTGTCAGGGAGAAGAGCCCATGGAACAGCCCTATTAGACTGCATACAGATAAAAGTTATTCCATATGAACTACAAGGGAATTTATCAACCCACAAGTCATTGACATGTTTGTTGAAGACATGAAAAGAACCCACAAGTGAAAAACAGTTTGTATGAAGCAAGGCTGAATTTGATGGCCCATGCCAAAGCAAGGAAGCCCTCAGTACTTGCAGTGCAGGCACAGGGAATGTTTGGGATCAGGATGGAAATGGAACGGGTTCACTTCGCCACTTGTACTGGGCTGGGAGGGTAACACAGGTGAACATGGAAAACCAAGCCGCTGGAAAAAGAAAAATCCACGGCTGTCTCAGGATTTGTAAAGGGAAAAGAAAAAAAAAGAGAAGTGAGGAAAAGTTTTCAGATCAGTTTAGACCATCGGCCAGGGTAACATTATTTCCCAAAGGTGGTGCAATTAACCTGAACTCTGGTTGCTTAGAGCAAACAACCAAACATTTTAAAAGAATCAATTTAAGAACATCATCAGGTCAACTGCTATATGCCCACAGTGCGCTGCTTCCCAAAGCGTTTTAATCCTCAAAGCGTTCATCTGGGGGTTAAACCAGAATTATTTTGTCTGACAGCTGAGCCCGTGGACTTGTGATCCCTGACACGGCTCTGAACACACGCTCAGAGACCCCGGACAGACCTGTGGCTATTCCTTTAGAGTTATCCACTGTAATAAATAATTTAAATATTTTTCTTTTTTTTTTTCCTTTATTTTTAAAGACGTCCTACTTCCGGCACCACGGAGCCCTCAGAGCTTCCCGCCCCGCGGTGCCCTCAGCACCGCCCGTCCCGGCTCCTCCCGCTCCCGCTCCTCCCGCCCCAGCGCTTCCCGCCGGCTCCCTCAGGACTTACCGGGAGTCAGGAGCCGCCGCAGCCCTCGGCGGCCGCCAGAGCCCCGCTCCCGGCAGGTGAGGAGGCGGCCGGGCCGTGAGAGGAAGGAAGGGGGCGGGATGTGCCAGGCAGGGCCCACGGGTTCGGTCCGGGAGATTCCGGGGTGGCCGTGCTGTGGGGTGGGCAGGTGGCACCGAGCCTGCTCCAGAGACGGAGCCCATATTCTTAGGGCTTCCCGCTGTTCTGCTGCCTCTGGAAGTGGGGGTGATGACACTCGCTGTCCCCTAGGAGAGGCTGATGAGGTGAGAGCACCGTGCCGGGACGGACAACAGCGGGGCAGTGGCTGCCTTAGAGCTGCAGAGAAATCTACAGAAGGTTTCTTCCTCCTGGCCAATGCACTGTAGTAAGTAGAAACTCCTTTTAAGTAGAAACTCGTCGATTTACGTTAAGGAATATTCAGTGTGCTCGACCTCGGTGAGCTTTGAGGCAGGACCGGGCGGCCGTGAGGGGATGCCTGAGGTGATCGTGGATCCGGAGCGGGCTCTGTGGGAGCTGCCGGGATCCAGGTTGATCAGGGGGAGCTGCCGAAGCAGTGGGAGGCTGTTCTTGTTTTTAATTAATGTACCCATCTGTAAAACTCAGTAGTTTGCACTGAAGTTGTGAGGCACAGAAGTGTCTCTGAACTGCAAACATAATGAAAGTGCTCGGTGGTTTTCCCCTTCACCAAAGATGACCTCATGTAATATCCCCTTCTGATGCACAACAAGGAAGGGCAGAGCTGGACATGGGGACAGTCCCTCCTGGCCCCCAGAGCTGCTTCCAGCATCCCAGAGAGAGCTGGGGAATACACAAGGAGGAGGGACTGGCAATGGTGCCACCACAGCTTGGCTCACAGATGGCCAAGGAGTAACCTGCTATCAGGGTGTCTGTCTGCATTCCTGCCAAAAACACAGATGATATTTCCTAGTTGTTTTAAAGGGAGCTCTGCTGGAAATTCTGTGTTTCACTCATCATCTGTGCTGTTGTAGCCTGCTTCAGTAACCAAGCTGGGGGCTGCTGAGCTGCTGTGTCAGAACTGTGGCTGGTTTTGTGTTAAAGGTGCAAAGGGAACAGTTTTGAGGTTTCACACAGAAAAAACGATGCACTGATACACCACCATGCACTATGCTTGGTGTTTGGGTGCAGTGTGTAAAAACCACAAGTCAACTCCATCATCACAAACCACAATCATCACTTCATGGCAGTGATGATTCAGCTGCTCATAAAGCTCTGGATGGAGCTGGTGAGCTCCAGAGCTGTGTGAGACACACTGGGAACTCACTGCAGTCTGGATGTGGAAACATCTGCACTGTGTGATACTAGTTAAATGGCTGTTCACATGTTTCCCTGGTGAGTAACTGGGAACGCATTTGCTGGTTTCTGCTTTCAAGGCTTTTCTTTTCAAGGCTCAGTTTTAGTGTGGAAAGACACTGGCCTTGCATTTAGAGAAGCAGATGGCAGCCTTTTCTGAGCTGTCTCAGGTTTTATTAGGATGCACTGCAGTTGCTCAGGCTTTGGAACAGAATTTGTTTCATAAGTATGTGGTCTCTGTGCTGAATGTAAAGAACTTTAAAAAACAACACAAAACTACCAAACCCAAGAAAAGTACATTTTTTTAGTGCTTCCAGAGCAGCAGAGAGCTGGGATTTTCCAGCAGACAATGGGGAAATACCTAGAGGTGGTGACAATTCCTCTTTTAGGTCATATGGTGTGAAGGTCCGCCCGAAATGAACGGGTGACGAATGATTTTTGGGTGCAAAAATAACCAACAAAGGCACAGGGGTTTTGCAGTAACAAATCAACAAGGTGCAATTTTATTGATGATAACCACAGCTAAATATGCGTTTGGTTAGGGGATCCGGGGAAGAGAAGGGTAGGACAAGGAAAAAGGGAGGAAAGAAGGTCAGGGAATGGGGTATAGCTACCAAAATGTGATGTCTTCGGGGTCCCGCTGCCGAAACTCGCTGGTGCACGTCTTGGGGAGTACTCGAAGGACAGTCAGACCGAACCCCAATATATATACTGTTCTTGGTTGGGGGAAGGGTGACTGAAATTAGGTTTCCATGGAGGGGAGGAGAACAGGAACAGGAGGAGGGGGTGAGACAGTTCCATTGTTTTCATGGCCGAATGCTCACAGGTACGTTAGGTTTTCCCCCCTCCCTGAGTTGGGAGGGAGTACAGTCCCAGTCACTGGAAGGAGGTTGCCAGGGGGGTGCCATGGGGGTGCCAATAGGGTGCCAGAGGGGTTCTTGGTTCCTTGATGAGGGGATTCGCATCTCTGTTGGTCCATCACGGTGGTTGCAGACAGGCAAGAGGGGTCTTCTCATGGAGCGGGGCGGGGGGAGCCACCTCAGAGCTCAGTCCAGCCAGATCAGGAGTTTGGGAGAAAGTCCAGTTAAATTGTCCAGAAAAGGGCAGCATGCCCCCTTCGAGTACAGCATGGCATGTTCTGCAAACACTACCTGTGAACACACTAGATAAGCATGAGACTTTCTTTCCCAACTGGCTCAACAGTTTTTAACCCTTCGGTGGTCTTTTTCTCATGACAATTGTGAGGCAAAAAATGAAGGATTTTTGGATGGACTTCTACATATGGACAGTCTAACTTCTTAAATTCACTTTTTATGTATCCCAGCCATCACTCACTAAACACTTTGTCCGTGCAAGAGGTCAGTTTGGAGAGCCCAAGGAATGCTTTATAAATATTTAAATTACCACTGCCTACAGACAGACTGTTGGTAAAGATCTCTTGATAAAGAGCAGAGCACACAGGCCCAGCCAGTTCTGCCTAACCCCATTTTAAGCCTATCAAGCAAATCGAACTGCTAAATGACATATTTCCTGCAAAGATAAATCTGCCTCAAGAGGAGCTTGCTGGCAAGCAGCGGTGAGTTGTGGCTGCCATGCTTCCAGGTATCTGGAAGCTTCCAGGTGCCTGGAGGTTCTGTGCAGTGAGTGGAGAGGAGCACAGGGAGTATCTCAGTGCTGACACCGATCTGTTGGGTTCCGCAGCCACTCTGTGCCGTGGTTTTGCCGTCTCCTGGCTCCAAGGGCTCCTCTCGCCATGAGCTGTTTCGAGGAGGCCGAAACAGAGGAGACAGTGACGTGCCTCCACCTGACCTTCTACCACCCCGGGCAGGCCGAGAAGATGATGTTCCGCTGCCTGGATTTCTGCCGGCGGCAGCAGCTGCGGGCGGACGACACGGCCAAGTTCGGCCGCGACTCCAGCCTGTGCCGCTACAGCCTGGTGGACACGCGCGTCTCCCGCATCCAGTTCTCCCTGCAGTTCTACAGGAAGCTGCACAGCTCCGAGTACGCCTTTGAGATCAAGAACCTGAGCAAGAAAACGAAGCTGACCGTCAACCAAACGGAGCTGGGTTACTTGAACAAAACCGACCTGCCCTGGAAGTGCATCATCTGCTTCGGGGAATACCAGGTCCTGGCGGAGATTCAAGAAGGGGAGGCCGTGGATTATTTTGAGACTCACTTGCACTTGGCTGAAGCACCCATCTTACAAGAAAGGTGCCTGCCATCCCTGCAGCCTGTACCTGAGAATGGCATTTCTCCTTCCTTTCCTCCTGGCCAAGGCAAAAGCCCCACAGAGATTGATGAGAACGAGATGTGCTAGCGGGGAGAAGGAGGCTGGATCAGGTTTTCTGGCCTCCAGCACACACAGCTCTCACCTCAGCCCAGTGTTCTTGGTGGTGCTCACTGACTGCTGCACATCAGTCTTCTTTACTTGCTGTTATCAGCACAGGCATTCCAGAGCACTGCTCCCTCCACAGGAATGGATTCCTGACACTGCCTTCTCGGAGGGCTCTCTGATGCCCAGAAAGGTGTGGGAGACAAGGGGTCACTCAAATCCACAGAATCCCGGAACTGTGGCCACGTGCCTTGGAGGGATATTTAACAGGCACTAATACACAGCGTGCACAGCAGGGTTTTGGTCCCAACCAGGGGGTGACACAGTGTCTTGTTGCACATTTTACTTTGTGCTCTGCTTTGCACACCAAATCCCAAACAGTATTTTTTGCGAGCCTGCGTCGTGACTTCACAGATTTTGCAACTTAGAAACACTTTGTCCTTTTATGTTTTTATTAGCTTCAAAGCAAGGTTTCTTTTTTATTTTCACTTATTTAATTAACTTTTTTTTTTTTTTTGCAAGTTAACTACTTTTGCTTGTGATGTAGACAAACATGTAGCACCAATGATCATGGTCTATAAAAGTCCACAATTATTTTGCAATAAATACATTTTGTTCCCTAGTAAGGGTTTGCTCTGTTATATAGCTGCACTCTAAAAGAATTTTTGGAGAATAAAACTATTTCCAGGACCATCAAGATAAGAGATTGTCACTGGGCTTTCCAAAGATGCCATGGCTCCAAGGTAAGAATTTACTTAAATACTTCCAGGAAGTTTTCTACCTCTACTCCTCGACCCAAATCTCTCTGATAATTTTCTGGCCTTTTAAGAATTTCTCAGATTGTTTCAGTCAAGTTTTTCTTTGTCAGGGGCTCAGCTTTTCATTGGCATTTGGCTTTTTTATTTTGGCAAGGATTTTAGCTTGCTTGAAAGACACACTGGGGAAGAATAGGAGTTACCCACTTCATCACCCCTGAATATTAGGATGCATTTCAGCATTAATCATTCCAAGAAAACCATAATTATAACTGAGGGGAGGAACAGCTGGGATTAAGGCAACCAACCACGAGTGAGAGAAAGCCACATGGGAGAGGCAATGAAACTCAAACACAGGCTTAATGCAGGATTTGCCTGTTCATCTCCTCTGTGACAAAATTACTTTGTTGCCATGTTTTCCACTCTTGGAAGCCGGCTGTGGTTTCCAAACAACAATCACTTGCCCAGCTGTGTTTACCTGAGGAAGGATTGAATCGTGTAAAATGCATATTAAAAAATGGATTGTCTCCTATCACTACATTGATCTGACCAGCAGAAGGTGATTTACACAAGGAAGGTTATTTTGCCTTTAAAGATTGTGGGTACAGCTGCTCATTTCCAACAGGAGAAAGGCTCCATGCTCCAAATTCCCCAGGTCTTCTGCAACAAGTCCCCAGAAGGGACACTGTGGGATTCAGCAGGGCTCTGACATGGCTGCCACAAACCCAGCAACAGATACCACACTGCCAAATGTAAGACTTGCTGAAAATTTTAATGACTCTTGAATTTGTACAGATAGGCATTTTACAGTACACTGGAACTGCTTCACATGAGCTGTTTGTAGAATCCCTCCATTTCTCAAATATCCACAGAGATGGAGCATCTCTTCAAAAGTCACCCAGCGTGGAGCACTGAGCTCTGCAAATGTTATCATCAACCATGGCTACAGAACATGCCCATCACAGAAAAAGCTAGAGTCAGCCTCCTTTTTCCTCAGTGCTTGTTCATCCCAAGAGCAGGACTGTCAGCTAATTCCTCAAGGCATGGTCAGGATAAGGTCACCTCATGTTCCCTGGCCAGGAGGAGCAGTGACCAGGGAAGGGGAGGAGACAGTTTCAGCAGGTAAAAAACATGTTATTTACATGTGGAGGAAGTTGCCTTCCTTCCCACAGGAATATACTATACAAAGAAATATCCAAGAGAAGTCACACAGCAGTAGCCTAGGCCAAACCCAAAATATACATTTGATGTGTACAGGTCTTTAAAGCTCATTACAAGTATTGCAAATGTAGATAATGGTAGTAAAATATTTCCAGTGACATGGCTACAACTGAAATGAAGAGATGGAATGTTACCAACAGGATTTAACTGAAATGAAGAGATGGAATGTTACCAACAGGATTTATCTGTTCTCTCGGGTTACTTGTACACATTTAACCCCAGTGTGCAGGATTTCTGTTCCTTATCCACACTGTAACCACCCAAATATTCCAGATAGCTTCAGATGAGCTAAACAACATTTTTCACACAGCTTTCACCAACAAATTCAGTTCTGATGATTGACAGAGCAGGTTTGTTACTTACCACAATGTGTTCTTTTTACTCCAAAAGAAAGTTAAACCCTGTCACCCTTTTCCCCCTGGAAAAACGAGACAGCTGCACGAAATAATGGCAGAGTAGAATGGCTTCACTTTGAAACTTTGGGGAAAGCTTGAGACCTGCAAGAACTTTGCAGTTTCTCTTTTGTTAAAAAGTAAGATTGACATGGAATACTGGGGGAGACCACACAGCACAGGACAGCAGCGGTGCAGTCACTGAACACCTCCTTGGATTTCAGCCCGTACTGGCAGGATTAACCATCCACTTGAGAGGCACAGGAAAGGCAGAGCACTTTAACACACTGTTAAAACATGAATTTTTCTTCTTTCTTTTCAAAATGCAGGTGTAAAAATTCAGTCTTTAGGTTCTTGTTCTTCCCACCCTGCCAGCAGCAGAGCCATCATCCCTCCCTGTTTGCTCACTGGATGTTGCTTTTCCATAATTGTTCTGGTCCAGTGGAATTATAAATTTTCCACAACTGAAGAATTTTAAGGACCATGTAGCAACAGAGGTTGGTCTGTTCAGGGGGGCTGGGAAAACAAGACTTTGGTCCTCCCAGTTCTTCACTGGTTAAAATTCCCATTTTATTGACACATACAGAGAATTTATATTTTAGTTTTGCTTTTCTATCTAGCACACGCTTACTAAGTCTGGCATATTATTATACAAGGCAGTACCTTACCTAACCTGATGAGTTTTACTGTGTTCATTGAGGTTAACCGTGCTTGGCAAAAAGCAATTAAATAAATAAAATAAATGGAAAAAGGACAACAGAAGACTAGGAAGGCTTCAAGCTAGACAGGGGAAAATCTGCAAATTTGCCATGTGTCAAATTTGTTTTGCAGCTCGAAATAGCTGAAGAGCAAGTCAAAAAGCACAGAAATAGAAATATTTAAAAATTATTTCTCTATCTTCAAGTATTAAATTAAAGAGGACTGTATTAAATTATAGAGGACTGTTTCTGAGATAAATATTAGGCCAACGATGAATTTTAAAACAAAATCAATAGAAACATCATCCAGAAAAAAAAAAAAGGCAAGTTAAAATATAGACAAGTCAAAGCTACGAAGCTCCAATTTAGTGCAGATAATTTTCTATTAAATCCAGATACCCAGAAATATCCACAACAGTTTTCACAAAAGTGGAGAAGGTAGACGATAAAATTGCACTTAGTTCTGAATTCAGACTGTCAGGAAGAGGGGGGCAGGTTACAAAGGGCAGAGTGGCCTCGTGGGTTCCGTTCCCTTTGCAGCGCTGGGGACACGCAGGGATGCACTATCTGTCCTGGCGCTCGCACTCCGACAGTTCCAGCACGGGGTTCACGAAGCCGGCGTACTCGGAGTTGCCGTTGTCGTCCAGGGCGGCGGCGGCGCTGACGAAGTCGTTCTCCCACTCCAGCCCGTTGGAGTCGTCGGAGGCCGAGGCCGGGTGGCTCCCCGGCTTCCTGCTGTTGAACTTGAGCGCCGCCCGCAGGATGTCCTCCTCCGTCCGGGAGCGCTCCCGCACCGGGATCATCCTGTTCATGCCTGCCGGTTTGGAAGAGCTTCAATGAGAGATGCGGGACTCCAGGGGCTCTCTAAAATGCAGTTTATTCTATCTAAGAGCTTACAGCAGTTCAGGGTCGTTGGGTGACAGAGCTGTGCCTACAGCTGTCAGCTCCAGCTGCAGGCAGGCCCCTGGAGACCCTTTGGTTTTGGTTACAGTGCATTTTTCACTTTTCTTTGCTGAGCATCTTAATGCAGTATGTGAAAAACCCATGTATTTTATGATTGGCTTTTCGCAAATATTAAAATGAATATTATATGTCTTGTGTTAGAAAATAATGCTGTATTAATTCTCTTAAGTACGGTGTTAAATATAGCTTTAGGTTATAAAAATTGTTAAAATAGAAACAATGCTATGTAGGATGCTTTGTTTAACAGAAAGGGCTTGCAGTGAGATAACAGCCACAGAACACCTAAATCTTTCAGAGAAAGGGAATTTATTGCGTTCTTATCAGAAGAAACGAACTTCTTCCCGCCTCGAAGGCGCTGTTAGGATCAGAAGTAAGAAGTTGACGATGACCAGACAGAATCCTGTGTTTGAATGGACTTTATGCATCATGTATGAGGTGTATGAATATGCAACAGGTTATTGTTTTTAAGGGTTAATCCTCTGTTCAGGGGTGTCCTTTTTCGGGCTCGTGATGCCCAGAAAAAGGTACCCGTATGTCCGTAACTCTTTGTTTTTATTGTCTCATATTGTCTTAATTCAATTTGTCCAAATTATTATTACTCTAATTGTGTTACTATTTTTATAACCATTTTACTACTATTAAACTTTTAAAATTTTAAAAACAAGTGATTGGCGTTTTTCACAAGTAGAACCAATCTATACCTTAACTTCTATCTATAGCCTATCATAACTCCTGTAATTCCCATATTCATGTTACTATTCTGCAATCGCTAAAAGTTACTACATTACAGTTTAAGCTACAAGTTGTTTTTTCTGTTTTCTTGCAGTGGAAAATTCTGAGACCTTTTTTCTACTTGCAACTTTTCTGACTTGTTTGCCTGTGTTATCTTTCTGCTTGGTAAAAACATCTTCTTGTTTGAGGTGGGTTTATTCTTTGCTCTAAGCCATAAAAACCCCTTCCAACTAATATCCCCTTTGCCTCCTTGGTTAGCCAGCAAGACTGGCTCAGCAATTCTTTTCCTCTATATCAAAACTTGCTTCCATCTCTATTCCTTGATCAGACTCAACATTTAAAAATCTTTCTGCTAAGCATACATATCTTAGCTTTCTTGTCAAACTTCCATCCTTCCCAACACACACACACACAGGAAACATGTGAGTTTCACCTAACTTTTATGTTTCTGCCAGGAGAAACGAAGGTAGAATATGGACAGATACTGGTGGTCTAGGAAAAGACAGACTCAGTGGTCTGGAAAAGTCTTCAGTTTGTTTAATTCCACACAAAATAAGGTTCTGGGCACTGCTCAGAGACAGATTTCACTGGTTTTGTCAGTAATTACAGACATTAATCACCTATCAGTGATCACCTATAAGCAAACCCTTGCTTATTTTTGGTGAGCCTTTCAATAGCCAAGGTCTCAATCTCCATATTGCATTCTACTTCGGCACAAACACAGGCACAGAAAATGATAAGGATATTGGGAAGAACTGTGCCTTGCTTTTCTCTGTGAAGAGAAATGTGGGGCTACATCTAAGATTTCACCGATTTTGTCAGTAATTACACATGTTAATCACCTATCAGATTGGCTAAAAAACAAACCCTTGCTTATTTCTGGTGAGCCTTTTGACAGCCAAGGTCTCAACATTTTGGATAAACTTTCAACCAAGAGTTTTTGCAGGTTTAGTGAACAAAAGAAGAATATTGTGTGCAGAAAACACCTGTAACAGCAGCAATGTTCCTGCTGTATCATTGCTGGGATACTCCTTGGAATGCAGATCCAAGTTCCCAGTGAATGTTACAGTGCCAGTAATAATAATAATTATAATAATAATTTTGGGTTTTTCCCAAAATACTGAAGTCAGACTCCTGACCAACCACCACATTTTGAAAGGAAGATCAAGCTCTTCCTTCTGCTCCTGGCTCACGAGAGGGCAGCATTTCTTCACCATTACTTTTGTCCGGAGTTTACAAGTCAGTTCCACAAAATGCAGGGAAATTAATTCATTTATCTATTGGAGTATCCTAATAAATGAATTCATTTAGTAGGGTTATCTCCACATTTATCAAAAATAAAGAACTTGTCTCAGTAAAAATAATTTACAGTTTAACCATTACAAACTTGTCAGAAACTCCATGAGAAACAAGTTTAAAATCACCTTCCCTTTTGAAAATGACAAATTTACAATGAGCACAGCTTAAAATGACAAGATCTTTAACTTTTGGGTTCAGGATGAAGCTGAAATTCAGGATAAATACCTTCTTCATCTTCCCACTCTAAATCCAAGGAGGTGCTGTCATCATTCCCACTCACTGATTTGGTTTTGGTCATCAAATCACAACTGCTCTCTGTGTTGGGTGTCAGCACTGTGGCATCAGATGAAAGCCCTATTTAAAAAAAAACAACCCATAATGTATTTTTAATTTGTAAATGTACTTCAATTTCAGGTTAAACATGCAAAAGTAAAATTTTAAATTAAGCTTTCATCGTGCTTTGTGGCCATTTAAACCTCAGGCATGCTGGAAAAGGTACTGCATCAGTTCAAAGAGTAATCAGTAGCTTAGTAAGCTGAGCTTTATGAAGACCTGTAAAAAAAAAAAACAAATCAAGCCTCTCCTCCCCAAAAAACTAAACTACTCACACAGCCATCAGTCCTCCACCTTAGTGGTTGTCACATACTGTCACCAAAACTAACAGATAAAAGCTTATCAAATTGTTGTCCTCTAAACTGGTATGATGGAATTTTTTAGTACAGGCAGCCAAATTCACCTCTTGCACGTCATTAGGAAAAAAATTAAACATTAATATGATTCTAATTACATTGCCAAGGGATGATTAAAAAAAAAAGCTATAAACACACATCTGCATCTTCAACTGGTTTTACAAGAAATGTTCACCACTATCTCTTATTTATCAGATAAAAAAATTGTCAGATGTTTCAATTACAGATACACGTATGCACATTTTGTATTTGTGTGTGTAAACATAAAACTAGTAATAATCTGTGTTTATCTAGAAAAAGAAGCAGCTCTGTGCCCCTCAGGGCCCCTCAACATGTAGAGATGTGCCTAAGGAAAGGCAGACTTACTGCTGCTTCGGAAAGCTTCATACTGGAATTTTGTATTCCTCAGGAAAGGATCGAGGTCCTCCTCTGCCACACAGCTGCAAGAACACAATTTTTACAGCTTCAGAAACCTCCAGGGCTGCCATCAAAAATATGTTAATCCACATGCCCCCAGCTCTGCTACAAAGGATGTAAACACTGAACTAAATGATTTATAAAATCATCTGCAAAATGCCTTTCTGTTCCTGTTCACGCATCCTCTCCCAGCCTGTGCTTCTGCTCAATTTTTATTAGTATTTTCAGTTCAAAATTAATTAATTAACTCAAAACAACTCCTCCCCTCTTTTCATCACTTTAGATAAAATCTCCTTAATTTTCAGTTCATTTTTTTAAGTGATGAATTCAAACTCTGCTCCTGCAGTCCTTTGTTTTTAAAATCTGGCCAGTTCCTACTCAGTTTTCTCAGCTCCTATTCTAACTGTGCTTCCATAGCAAAATTCTTCCTGCCCCCCTTGTTTTCTGTGCATTTTTCTACAATCAAACACCATTCCACTGTAAATTTCTCCACTTGTTTTAAAGCTTGTTTTTCCCACCACCACCATCGAACATGGGAGGTGGGAATAAAGAGACTTAAAATAAATAAATCCATAAAATACTTAATAAATAAATAAATAAAATTAAGAATATTAATGAAGGAACAGGCAGACTCTCTAAACCATTTAAATAGTGTGTTTCTATTGGGTTTTAAAAAAACAGGGCCCTGAACAATAAAAATATTTTATGTTAGCTGAAATTTTACATATAAACACCTTTCTAAAATAAACCACAAAATGGATTTTGTGTGTAAATATCTGTTAGCAGCTGGGAGTAGCACAGTATGCAGCAGTCTAATTACTCCAGCAACAACCAGAATTAACCCAAAATACCCTCTAGCTTTCCAGATGAGGAACAGGGCTACAGACAGTGAGGACTGTGAGTTATCAGGAATAAAGTTTGTTCTCTTACCTCTGGAACTCTCCATTGTTAACAGCATGTGCTCTCTGCTGTGTTATCCTGTGCTGCCTACGTTGCTATTAAGAGAAGCAAATAATTGAAAAAGCTGAACATTCAAAACAGAGCTCTCAACACTTTACCCTATTTTATGCACCCCCCAAAAAACCCACCAGTTTTTAGAAACCTCAGTCAGGACTGCACCTGTCTTATCTGCTGTCTTCTTAAAGTGTTTTCTGTGCACAACTAACACCCGGGTGATGTTGGATTTCTTTTGCTCCGTGCCCAGGAAGAGCCACCCTGCCATTTAAAAGATAAATATTTCCTACAAATCCTTTCATCCCTGTGCAAAGCAGTGCTGCCATCTCCTCTGGCTGTCTCCATCAGCACTAAGTGCTTCATCTATATTAATAAGAGCTTTGCTGCCTTGCAGGGCCAAAAGTATTAATAACTCTGCTAATGTCAAGTTCATCTGAGAGCTGCTCTTTGCTTTGGGTGTGGGGAGGTAACTGCACTGGATCTTGTGTCTTTCAGTCCCAGGAGGATGATGGCGGGGTTGTTTTCTGGCACACTTTGCATCCTGGATGTTTAAATGATAATAATTGCCGGTGGAAATGTGCAAATGGGGAGTGTTGAGAAAAAAAGTGGAAGCAGAAATATCACTTTGGTGGTTAGAGGTGAAAAGATTCAAGAACAGAGAGAGAAACAGACAGAAATTTGGCACAACACAGTCAACAAATCTGTCAAAATCAATTACTGACACACACAACCGTTTTCTTTCAGGATTCCTATACCCACATAATGTCCAATTTAGATTATCTCCCTGTTTTGCCAGGTCACATCCCACTATCCAGCACTGCCAGTTCCTGGACACACACACATTAAAATTCCCTGCTGTTACAGACCCTGACATTTAGCAGGGCAACATCAGCAAGCCAAATGAGCTTTGAGAGAGGCCACACTTCCAAGGAAAAAGCCATTTTCCCATTTGTGCCCACAACCAGCAGGGAGATGAGTGATGCATTCCAAAATAGCTTCCAGTTTATCCAGAAGGGCTAAGTGCTTGATGCATATCTGGACAAAAACTCTTCCTTAAAATCCTTATAATCCTTATGGGTTTTGAGGAGGCTGTTTGAGTAGGAGATAAGTGGTACTAATTTTACACCAAGAGGAAATTAAAATCTCTACAACCCATTCTGTCTTAGGTCCTGACTAAAAGAAATGCATATTAAAAATACTGAAAGACAAGAAATACAGCATTTCTTGCACAGAACTTCTATAAAAACCAGTTAATGCCATTAAAAAAGAAAATCTACTTTTGCTGGCTTTCTGTAGATCATAAGTGGTAAGGAAAAAAAAGCAGGCAAAAAGGTCAGAAAGAATTAACCCTCCCACACCAAATGGCAAGGGGAGAGAAAGAAATGTGAAAGGAGAGCTATACTTAGTGACACAGAAATTAGAGAGTACTCCAGAGCAGGGTCAATACAGAACACAAAGATAAGGAGCAATACAGTGCACAAATACAAAAAGTACATTTTACAAATCTAAATGATGCCTAAATTAAACATGTGCTCAATTTCAAGGGGTTTTTTTTTACCCCAAAGACACCACAATCATTTTTGTATTTAAGATCAGTAACTTCTACATATTATATAAGAAGAGTGTGAAGCTAATTATAGATTAAAATTATAGCTCATTCAAAATCTCTACTCGGTGACAGAAACTGTTTCAAACAATTATGGTGATTTTCAGCTGCTCCAACCAGCTGCACTTCCAAATCTTGTACTTCTTTCTCTACTTTGCAGGCCAAAGCCACCTCCTTGTCAGGTCTCCTGAGATGGAAAGGGTATCAGGGAAGTCTGCATACATAGGAACAGGACAGAGGCTCTCATAAATATTGGGGTCTTTTTCCCCTCACCTCCAAGAGCTTTTTCTGCTTTGCTGCCCTGGCTGCTTGACGTTGTGCAGCATATAAAGCCTCCTCTTCTAGTCTTAACTTCTCCTCTTGTAAGGCTAACTGTGTATGAACAAAACAGTAATGGTTAACAAAAGCAGAACCTATCTATCTTCCTATTATTAAAGCCATAAGTGCAAGAAAACAAAAGAAAAGCAGCTAGAAAAGCAAAACAAAACAAAATTGACTGCAGCTAAAGCATTAACTGGGTTTAACAGCTTCCCTCCCCACAAGCAAACAGCCCAAGAAATTTAGGTAACTACTGAGAAAACATTCATTATTAGTGAACTAATAATATGCTGCAATGCTTTTTTCTATTTTACTATGGACTGCACAGCGAAAGATTTAAAGATTTTCAGTTCCATAGTTCACTGGCACTTTAGATCAAAGTTCATCCAAGCTCTACATTGTATTCCACATCATATTCCATTAACTGCTGCAGCACTAAAACAGAATAACAAATTATGTGGGGTTTTTTCCCTTAAGAAAGTTGTGGAGAAAATTCAACACAGGAAAAGCTGAATCAAGAATATTCCCCATTTGGTCTTGCACTGAAAAAAGGGTCCAATTTAAGAGATCCTGGTCAGAAACCCAGCCTATTCATTCCATTTTTTCAGCTAAGAGACTGTTAAAAACAAGGAATTAGTGCACCTTGTAGGCTAAAAAATACAAACTGCTGAACAAAATCCAATTGCTCCATGTGAGTGGAATCTCCTGGTGTCCATGGCTGATCCTAACATTTCTGGAGAAAAAGCCATTTGTACTCTCACTGTGACCACTTACCTCTGACTGAAGCTTCAGGTCAACAACCCTCTGCTTCTCAGCAATGGAGTCGTAGTGTCTCTCCTTCAGGTCTGCAATTTCTTCCTCAGTCAGAGGCCTGGGGAAACACAAAAAAGCTCCATCCATTATTCATGCATGACAACCCTTTATTTGCACTTTGACATATCTGTGTGGTCTGTCCTGACCAGTCCTTTAATGCACATCCAACAGGCTCTGCTTGTGGCCTGCTCCTCCTGAAAGCTCCAGCTTGTTCAGGACCCTGCTGTCTCTCCTTGCTCTCACAATATATATTATTTATAATTTATATCTTTACAGAAAGCATATTTTCAGAACCATCTCTGCTAACAGAACTACTGGAACAGAACCATTACTGTCACTGCAGTCCTAACCTCACTTTTTTTTTCCCTTACTTGTTTTGGTCCCTTGTTTCTCCCTTACTCGGTTTTGTTTAGTGTTACCAGTGGGACAGCAAAGGGAAGGAGAGGTCCTCAGTCTCAAAGTCTTACCTGTGACTGCTTCCTGGGCTCTCCCCCTGTTAAAATAAATAAAAAAGTCTGTTTTATTGTAAAGACAGAGCACTTCCAGAACTTCCCTTAGCAAAGCGACACAGGTCCATTTCTGTTCTCAGACTGAGGGCACTTGCTGAGTTTTATGCAAGAGTTATACCCGCAGCAAATTCTCCTTTGAGTCTCCCCAAACACTCTTTTTCCTCACACCTCTTCTTGTCTTTTCTTTCTTCCCAAAGTCCATAGTGTCCCCTTCCTTTATGGGTTATTTCCCATACTCCCCAAAACCAATCTCTTAGATCTTTATCCAAAGTCTTAAATTCATACCCCGAGTGCAAGGAAAACAGAAAGTTAAAAGAAAACAACAACCCTGTGATTTAAGTCTACTGCTCAGCTTAAAGCAGGAGGAAGATGCAGATGTTGGAACCATTTTTAAGGCTTGTACAAGCAGATTTCACATAATGCCCCAGGTACTCACCTCATCACTTTCCACCAGGTTCTCAAACTGCAGAGGAAAATAAATAAATCATTTTTACAATTCAATATAACAAATCACTAAAGACTCATACAGCAAGTATGACTGCATATTTTATGTGTCTTGTAAAAACACCACTCCAGTTCTAACAGTGGGACTGTAACCCTACTTTCAGAGGAATTTTATTTTTAGAGATGGACCTTCTTAGCAATGTTTCTCTTCCTAACAGGAGAAGAGTCCTAATTAAAAAAGAAGCATTCTAAGCTGCACAAACTCACTCTCTCACAACAGGAAGTTCTGCAGCACAACAGATTTCCCCCTCTGTACACAACTTGCTGGACAGCCCAAGCATTACCTACAACAATTAATGTTATCCTCAGTAATGGGGGCAATCTGGCTGGCCCAGGACTTCCAGAACGCTCAGGGAAAGTAAACCAGGTTATTCCTGGTTAACCTTACACTACCCTTGGCAAAAAGGATTTAAATCTGGAGGTTGAGAAAGGACCTCTGTGGATTACAAATATCACAAACTATAAGGTAACCCAAATCTGGGCTGGAATATCCCAGAATATTTCAGTGTTCATAAACTGCAGAAAGTGTTAAAGGCATTGCCAGGATTCAGCTTTTCCCACTTTTTCTTAAATAGCTAAAATGTAAGTGCTTACCTCTATAGTGAAGTGTTCTCCTGTTGAACAGGTTCTAAAATACTTGGATCTGGAAAAATAAGTTTACAGTTAGACTGCAAAAGACTTTTCCATGCACAGCAGAAGGTAAATGAACCTGAGAATGGGAAACAGATTTTAAAATATGTTAACTATAAAATAACAACAAAGTCTTCATGTATTTAGCACATTGACTTATTAACTACAGCAGGGAGAGGCAAAAGCATGGAAATGCCTTCTGTAGAACTGGGGGGAAAACTACAACCCCTGTGAGATGAAATCACCTGTCAGGATGCTGGACTTGACATTTACAGACTATTAGCACGTTCTGCAATCCCTTTAATATGCTTTGGCTGGAAAAAAAAAACATTGTTCCAGGCAATTTCTGAAAATGCTGTTGCTCACCATGGCATTTAACTCTTTCCTGTATCTTGCACCTCATCAGTGCTAAACAATACATTTTATTTTGACAGCTTGGCACATCCAGAAGGCTGAGCCTCAGGAAAAAATATCCAGTAAGAGGTCAAGGCAATACTTTTAAACTAAAATAAAAAATTAAATTCACACTCTAATTTTATACAGGGAATTGGTTTCTTCCCTGATTTTTATTTAGAATTCTTCCTATTTTATTTGAATTATTTTACAGGGGACCGCTAGCCCTGTCCTCTACAAACCCCGACACAGTGTTGAGTTCCCTGAATACATTTCTACCTAGCCAAGGAGGCTTGGCCACGGTCCAGAAGAACATTCTAACATAAACACTCTTCAGTGCAACATCCATTTCATCGAACTGTTTCCAAAACCAGGGTTTCCAGTTGCAAGTGCTGACTGGTACAAGGAATAAAGCAGGGCCTCAGGGATTTCTCTACTTGCACGAAAAGATCCTTCAGCACTTGCAACCAACACCAACACTGTGACAATAATAAAAGCAACACAGCAGCCAAAGCCTGAATTATTTTAACCGTATCGGATTTCATCTCCATCTCATTTTTCTTTGGAAGCCACTTTAGGGAGCGTCTCCCCTGGCAACTTGTTGCTCTGCCCACTGGTTCCTTGTTGCACAACCTTTCCTGCCACTAAAGAACCTTTTCCAGAGGATTCACTGCTGGGAAACCAGAGAGGAAAGGCCACTTTCAAGGCAACCATGGAAGCCTGAGGTCATTAGGGACACAAACAGAAGACCCATCAGCTTCACCCCTGCACAAAACTTCAAGTGAAGAATCAGCAACCTCTGAACACGTTTACACCTTTTATAATTTTCCTTTAAGCCCTGCTTTTCCATAGTTTTCTAAGACTTTTGGTTGGATAGCTGCTGGAGAAAACAATTCAGCTGACAGGTCACAGGACCTATAGAGACAGTCAAATTAATCTTCCAAGATCTGAACTATTAAAGAGACCAACTTTTCATACATATATATATATATATATATATATACACATACTACATCCATATATAGATATATATAAAGCAGCACAATTCCAAGCAAAGGCAACTTACAATCTTCCAGGATATTGAAACACTTACTAAAAATCCTATACTTAGTTGTTTAATTAGGAGTTTATCTCTTACAGGCAAATCTTGGAGCATCTTAAAATAAAGAAGCTGGGGTTGGGGGAGGATATGAGTGATTAAAGTAATCATTAAGTTGATAAGCTACATTTTTACATTATAGTGTTCCAGAAACAGCCAAACATGGACAAGGTGGTATCAATCTAACTTGCAAACTTTATAATGCACCACATTTTACAGTTTTGGTTTTAATAGAATTCCCTGCTCAGTGGAAGGAAAATAACCTCAGCACTGTGACACTGCTCTGTAAACTACCACCACCACCACACCCAGAAAACAAATCTGATCTGAAGCACAGAGGCCAGCAGTCCTCTGTACATTTTATATGCCTCAGACTTTCACTGCAGGTTGTGCAACACCTGAACAACTAGACAATACAGCAGCGGTCAGGAAGATTTGTTTCACTGGCCAGGACAGCCTGGTATTGGACTAACAGATGCAGGGATTGGCACTAAATTTTTTTGTCACTAAAATTGTCACTAGATTTGCTGAAAAAAGGGGTATTGGCCTGTGGAAGGAGACTCAGCAAAACACACAGGAAGGAGAAGCTTTCAAGTTGTGCAGGAAGAAGCTTTCAAGTACTGCCTGGCGTTCTCAAAGCACAACAAAGTGCTACTTCAGTGCCAGCTGTCAAAGCATCGGAGGTGTTCCCATCCCCTCTGGCGGAGCACTAAAAATACAAGCAGGTATCCTCTACATGCACTGCCCTGGTTTTTCACCCCTGCCTCTGCGAAGCAGCTCGTCTGGAAGGTGAGACTCGCCTGCCAGAGCTGGTGTGAAGCAAGAGGCCACGAGCTTGCATCATGTAAAATGCCCAGCATATCTGCTGAGAGCGATTTCTACCCCAACACATCGAAAATAAGTGATGTGTAGGTATCCAGTGCCGGCCAGGATATGGGAAAAGCCCTGTTTGCACTGTGCTTTTCCGTGAACTGCTTGTGGCAGAACGAAACAGGTTGTCGCACGTTTCCAAGAGATAAGGATTCCTCGGAACCATTCTGCAACAGACATGAGTTCATCCGAACCATTCTGCTCCTGATTTATCCCAGCAGCGGCTCAGCCTCTGACTCACGGCGAGGACGAGATCACATTGCAGAAAACCGGGTGTTTTTCCATCGCTCCCACCAGCACGGCCCCCTGCAAGGCTTTTGACAACTGACCTGAAAACCCCCTCTGGGCACCTCCTGCCGGAAAAACACCGGGGCTCAGGAGCCGCTGACCCTGGAAGCGCATGAGCCCCGACCGCACAAAAACCGTACCGAGCCCGGCGGGCTCCCGGCGCCTCCATCCATGCCCCCGGCACGCCAAGGAGCCCAGACCCCGCATCCCTGCCCACCCCGCCACCCCCGGTGCCCCACGGGGAAGGCGGAGCCGGCGGGCCCGGCACCTCCCCGCCCCGGGGAGGGGAAAGGGGCAGCGGCGCTGGATGCTGCTCACCCTCCGCCGCGCTGGATGCGGCCGGCATCCCTCCGCAGGAACAGCCCGCAGCACCACTGCGCCCAGCAGTTCCCCATGGCATCCTGCTGGCCGCAGCTCCCGCCGCCTCCCGGCGGCCGCGGACCCCCGGGAACAAAGGGCCGGCACCGCCGCGTGGCTGCGCAGGGCCGGGCGGGGCTGGCCCGAGCGCCGGCACCGCCCCCGGCTCGGCATCATCGGTGACATCGGCCCTGCCCGCCAGAACCATCCCGCCCCTAGAGCGGCTTCCCCCGTGGCACGGCCCCGTGGGGTCATCGCCCGTGTTCTGACGTGTGAAAAATGCCTATTTTGTGATTGGCTTTCCGCAAATATTAAAATGAATATTACATGTGTTTTGTTAGAAATGCAATGCTGTATTAATTCTCTTAAGTAGTGTGGTAAATATAGTTTTAGGTTACAAAAAAATGTTAAAATAGAAATTATGCTATGTAGGATACCTTTTTAAAGAAAATACTTACAGCGAGATAGCAGCCACAGGACACAGGACACCTAAATCTTTCAGAGAAAAAGAATTTATTGCCCTCTTATCAGAAGAAACAAACTTCTTCCCACCTCGAAGGCGCTGTTAGGATTCAGAGGAGGGAGTTGACGATGACCAGACAGAATCCTGTATTTGAATGGAATTTATGCATCATGGAACACCTTTCTTTCCGCCATGCCCTTAGCTGTGACCTAGAGGCCACCAAACTGAGGCGGGAATCTTGGGAATATCCTCATGGAATGCCTTTGTTTCTGCAGTTTGTTCCTGGAGCTGTTTTCCTGCCGTGTCCTGCCCGTGTCCTGCCGTGCCGCTGCTGCCCAGAACATGAGAAGTCAGTGTCAGCAGAAGGCCAGACCGTGGGTTGCTACATCCATCACAGGATGGAAGAAGGAACAAGGGGACGATGGATTAAGAATGTGTTGGCTGAAAATATTAGTAAAGCCACAGGGATGCTTCAGCTTTCCTTCCCCTCAAAGGGAGCAGGTTCATGCACGGTGTTACATTGCAAATAGCACATGGAGACAAGTTTGTAAAATGAAGTAAAACCAAATTATTCACCACTGATCTTTAGCAACATCCACAGCCTCCCATCTGCACATGGAGCCCTCATTGCATGGACTCAGGCTGGGTTTTTAACACTCAGCCCACCGCACAAGAGATGAGGTTGCTTAGTGCGCTTTTTAAAGCCCTAGCGGCTTTTGAAAAAGCAACCTTTATAACATTTTACCCTTAAAACATTTTATGAGGCCTTTTCAAGAGCCGAGCGAGCTTCCGGCCGCCTTTCGCGACAGGCGGGGCGCGGCCGCGCTTTACGGCGGGCCGTTGCCGCGGTAACGCGGCCGCGTTGGGTGGGAGCCGGCGGCGGCCGCGGTGCCGCCATCCCGGTGCTGTCCCCGCGTCCCGGCCCGGCCCTGCCGCAGGGCCCGGGCCCTCCCGCCCTGCCGCCACCGCCATGGACAAGTACCAGGTGCTGGGGCTGGTGGGGGAAGGCAGCTACGGGATGGTGACCAAGTGCAGGAACAGGGAGAGCGGGAAGATCGTGGCCGTCAAGAAGTTCCTGGAGAGCGACGACGACGCGGCGGTGCGGAAAATCGCCCTGAGGGAAATCAAACTGCTCAAGGTGAGGCCGGCGGCACCGCCTTTTTTTCTAGCAATTTCGTGCTTAAATTGCAAAGCAGTTTGTGTGTTCAGACTCCTTCGGCCTCCCCTCACAGCATTCACAAGGTGTCACCGACACACCCCAGGCCGAGGGAGACTCGCCTGGGCCGTGCCGGGATCTCCAGGCGCCGGATTTAACGGAACCCCCCGTGCTGTGGCGGAGCCGCGGCTCCCTTGGCCCGAGCGCCGGGCTGGATGCACCTGGCGGATCCTGGGATGTTCTGGCGTTGCCAGGGGATGGTGAGGTCTCTGTTGCCTCCTGGTGGTGGCTGTCCCCCTGTCCCAAATGCCTGGCCTTTCCTGCTGTGGATTTGCTGGAAATAGAAGGAACGCTGACCTCTCACAGCCTGGGAGTGTGACCCTAAACGGGCTGGGGGCTGCCGGGGTCACCTGAGACGGGAAAACACTTCTAGGAAAGTTTTCCTTTTTTTTTTTTTCTATCCATGGCACCTTCCTGGCAGGAAGGACTCCTGTGGGATTCCCTAAACCATGTGTGCACTGTGTCCTTTGTTGTTGGAGTGTGGGATTTGCCTGGTGTTACTGTTGTGGGGAAGGACGAGGGGGAGTGGATTCAGACTGAAAGAGAGCAGCTTTTGACTGGATATCAGAAAAAAATGATTCCTAGTCAGGGTGGTGAGGCACTGCCATGGGCTGTCCTGAGGAGCTTCCCTTGCCCCATAGGAATGTTTGTCCCCTGTGCAGTGCTTGTCCCTCTGCATGGGCACATTGGGAGTTTGGAGCACTGGGACCCGGATGATCTGTTTGGTGAAAAAAAAAAAAAAGAAGGAAAACCTTATTTCCAGGCTACTCCTGTGATGTGGGGTGCTCCAGAGGTGGGAATACTGGCAAACCTGGGTCCTGTCCTTTTGTCTGCCACAAGTATCTCTTCCTAAATCTGCCAGCTTATGGTTCCTGTGCACTGAAGAGGGGAAAAAAGTGGTGTTTGCCTTTACTGCAAGAGCTACAGAATTGGAGTTAATAGAAATGCATGCGGCTCCAAGCCTTATCCCTTCAAACCCTTCTGAAGTGGATCTCTGCGAGCCTGGATTGTCCCTGCTCTGAGTTACTGAGCAGCACCCAGGTGTGCTGGGAATTAACTGCATTTCCTGGGTGAATGGAACCTTTGCAAGGAGAATGTTTGCATGTGCAGCTCAGGAAGGGTGGCCTCTCACAGGGGAAATAAATACCTGGAGGTTTATTCTCTTTGTAGTTCCTTCCCTTCTTCCCTGTCAATCTTTGGGTTTAATTTTTTTTCCCCCCTCGAGTTTGGGCAGAAATTTAATTGTGTCTGAAAAGAGCAAAAACTTCTTCAGGGCTCCTGTGTGGGGAACAAATCATTCTTGGAAAAAGAGCTTTTTCTCTTATTTAAAAATTTAAAAATTCTTCTCTTGTCAGACCTTCTAAGAAATCTGGGCAGGCACAGGTGCAGGCTGGCTGGCACTGCCTCTGCCCCGGCAGAGTTTCCCCTGCAATTCCCTGTGCTCTGCAGTCCTTTTGCATCTTCCTGGGTCCCACCCCTGGGCTCTGCTGCTGCCTCCAGGCAGCCTCTGGGGATGTTGCCCTGCCAGGTTCTAGCTAATAAATAACTGTGCTCTGTAGCATGGCCTTTTGTGTTGGTGCGTGATAAATGTGTAACAAATGGGAGGCGGAGCCTTGTCTGCTGGGGACACAAAATAAACAAAAGCATACATGACAAAATAACTGGAAAACACAGCTCTTTTTCTTCCACTTTTTATTCAAGTTGCATTTTTTGGTACTGTCCCAGCAGGGCTGCAGTTAAAAAAGTTAACTGCAAAAATTTTTTTTTTTAAATTTCCCTTTATAACTTTTAGTAAGTGTTTTCCCTCACTAAACATTCCCTGTTTCTTGACAGCAACTGAGGCACGAGAACCTGGTGAACCTGTTGGATGTGTGTAAGAGGAAGAAGAGGTGGTACCTGGTGTTTGAGTTTGTGGATCACACAATGCTCAATGACCTTGAGGACTCTCCCAATGGACTGGACTTCGAGAGGGTTCGCAAATACTTGTTTCAGATTATGAGAGCAATTGCCTTTTGTCACAGCCATAATGTAAGTATCTGCAAGAAATCAGCTCTGCAGCTACAATCAATAGATACATATTAGAATAGAAGTATGTATTTTTGTATTTGTATGTCTTTGAACTTAGAGAAATAGAAAGGAAAAAGAGTTACATAAAATACATGTGTCCGAAATTAGTGGTTCTGTGTTTGCCTGTAATTTTCTACTTGCATATGAGAAAGCTGTGCTTCTTGCTGAGCCAGTCAGTTTGCTGTGTACACACAGAGAGTTTCCCTGACTTCCTTCTCTCTGTACAGATAATCCATCGGGATATTAAGCCAGAGAACATCCTGGTTTCCCAGTCAGGAGTTGTGAAACTCTGCGACTTCGGGTTTGCCCGGCCCTTGGCCGCTTCTGGGGAAGCTTACACGGACTACGTGGCCACCCGCTGGTACAGAGCCCCGGAGCTGCTGGTGGGGGACAGCAAATATGGCAGGTGAGCCTGGCCTGCCAGCCTGGCAAGGGCTCTGGGGAGCGTGCAGGGGGTGCTCCATCCCTGCCTCAGCCTTTGGAGCCATGGAGCTGTGCTGAGCTGGGCTGCTGGTGGTTTTTCTCCCCAGGCCTGTGGACGTGTGGGCTGTTGGCGCCCTGATAACAGAAATGCTTACAGGAGAGCCCCTTTTCCCTGGAGACTCAGACATTGACCAGCTCTACCATATCACCAAGTGCCTGGGTAAGAAGAGCCCCTGGGGCTTGCTCAGGAGTGAAGGGCTCAGATTTGTTTTGATAGGTGGAAAGATAAGAAGCCAGACTATAGCCCTTACTAGCATTTCAGCCTCTCACATGTTTCACTGTCCTGTATTTTCCACCTTTGTTTGCCTGATTCTAGGTAACTTAATTCCAAGACAACAGGAGTTATTCTATAAAAACCCCCTCTTTGCTGGCCTGAAGTTGCCCGAGGTGAAGGAGCTCGAATCCCTGGAGAAACGCTATCCCAAGCTCCCTGATGAAGCGCTGGAATTAGCCAAGGTAATTAACTGAGTGTTTCCTGTGAGTGTTCCTCTGTTTCCCTGCCCTCCACCTCACACAGCTGAGCACAGGGATGTTGAAGTGCTCTTCTCTCAGCTCCCCAGGCAGTGAGCAGCTTGGGTTGGCAGCTTGGTGGGGGATCCCAGAGCTCCAGTCCAGGGTGATGGGGACACGCAGCTCTGTAGGGCCAAAGGGGTCACTGCAGGGGTCTTTTCCTCATGCCAAAGCCTTTGTTTAATTCCTGCTGTGTTTTTCTCCTCCTGCTGGTTTGACAGGAGTGCTTGCAGATTGACCCAGACAAGAGACCGTCCTGTGCTCAGCTCCTGCAGGGTGATTTCTTCAACAAGGACGGCTTTGCTGAGAGGTAAGAGCTCCTTTCCTGCTCACTGCAGGCTCAGGTTAGAAAGAAGTGAAGCAGTTGTGCTTGGAGACTGCACACTGCTGGGTTTGCAGAGCTCACAGCTGCTGAATGCCTCCGTTTGTTTTGGCTTGACCTTCCTGACAATAGAGTTGGAAGGGAACACATGGCACATTTACCTTGTTGTGACATTAATTCATCAGTGTCACCCCACATTGGGTAGTACAGTCTTACACTGTGTTCACTCACTGCATCTGCACCAAACTGGTGCAGATTTATTGTTTATTGCTGTATTTTATTGCTTTATTGCTGTATTGTGAAAAAATGTGTGCAGAAGATTTTATTTAATGTATACATTACATTTGTCTTCTCATTAGTTAAAAGGCACAGTTTGTTTGACTGTTTAAAAGTCTATAAGAGCCTGGGCTTAACAACTGATGATGCTGTTAATATAAACAGAAGTCCTTTTATTATTTGTTTCTTTCTTTTCTCCTTATATGGAATGTAGATTTACTCAGGAGCTTAAACAGATAATCCAGAAAGATACCAGAGACCATCAGTTTCAAAAAAAATCTAAAGTCAATAAGAGGGACAAAGATGATGTTTCAGAAGAAAGAAAAATCATCAGCGTCCAGGTTGGTCCATCTGTGTTTTCCAAACCTGTATTGTTTTGGGGTTTTTCTCATGTTTTGTATCATTATTTTTAAAATAGGTGCAGCAGTTTAAATTCCTAGGAAATAGCTTGGGAGTGTGCAGGGGGCTCTTGGGCCAGTCCCTTTCAGGTGAACCATACAGTGGTGCAGTTCCTGGCAATACAGAGCTGGAGGGGAATCACTTGGGAAGCATAAGTCATGCTTTATGCTGCTGTTAACCTGTTTCGAAGCCCTGTCATCAAAAATAAAAATTTTCCTTTCAACTGGATACTAAGAATGCTTCAGAGTGACTTTGAGGTGACATTGAGATGAGTTTTTATTTTATTTCTTCAGAAGAGACACAGGATACAGCTGGTTTTCCTCTATCATTTCTGATTCCAGTCTCAACTGACTTATTTACAGAGAGTGCTGGAACCCTGACAAATTTTCTCCTGTTTGATGGAAAGCAGAGATATTCTAACAAAACCAATTCCATCTCCATTAGATTCTTGCAGAATCATGCACATGTAGGCTTCTGACATGTTTTTTTTTGCTGCATGCACCGCTGTAAACTGCTTTTTTAACTATGACTGTAAGGAAAGATGATGTTTATCTTCCCAAATAGGATTTCAGCATAGGCCCAAGGAGCAAAGATGGGAAGCTGATAAAGACCAAGCCCTCTAAAGCTGATGCAGAGAAAGCAGATCGATCCTCCAAGCTGAGCTTCCTCTATGACAACACAATCCACCCATTGAAATTGAGCCCTCAGACCAACCTGAAAGATTCCAGCAGCAACTTGGACTATGCCAAGAACCTGGGCACATTTATCCCTCCCATCAACCAGAACTTCTCTCCTACATTTGGGATGGGGTCTGGGCCTGGGAGCCTTAATTACAGGTAAGGGAGCAGAGCTAGGGGAGCTCCTATCCATCATTCCTGGGATGTCCTGGGAGGGGCAGGGTGACAATGTGGGAGCAGGATGTGGGGTTTGGGACACCTTGCATTTGGTGCTTTATATTGGCTGTGTCAGCCCAGCTCACACCAGCTGTGGGGCATTTCTGATTACAGACTTGATGAAAAGAGTAAAAAATACTTGAACCCCTTGCTAAAGGCACGGAAGCCTTCTCCAGTGGGGCGTTGCAATGTCAGCCTGACACCGGTGAGTCGTCCGTCCGTCTGTCTGTCCTCCTTGGCCAAGCAAAAATTAATTCAATCGTGTGTTGTATTCTCAAGAACTCCATCTGGTCCATCTTTCACCATAACTCCCCACTGAAAATACTAGAAATACTACTGGTTTTGTTACCCCTTTTTCCCTGCAGATTTTGCGTTCATTATCCCTTGCTAACAGTTCTTAGATAAAATATATTTTATGTCAGAAAGCAATTTTTAGTGAGGGGAGCAGTCCAGCACAGGATATCTGTGAGATTTGGAATATATCCATGGCCTCCTGCCTGGCCAGGAGCGATAGACCATGTGTGCTGTGCTACTGAAGCAGAACCGAGGGTTTGGATTTACTGTGGCCAGGGCTTTACTTAGTCATGTCATAACTGCATTAAAAATTGATAAGGAAAACAAGTGAAATGGAAAGTTTTCCTCCTCTCTCACTACCTAGGCATGATGATTACTGTGCCAGCCAAGAACACTTGCCTGTTTCCAGATAACTAATCCCAGCCATTCTCCAAGGGCTGTGTTTTATCTCTCCAAAAGCAGCCTCACTTAGATGATTGTTTTTATTTTGCTGTAGCTTTTCCATTGCTTGTGTATAAAAAGCACTTGAGCAGGTTGAATTCCTTCACACACATCAGATTCTTTTGTCTCACTCTTGGACAAATTCCAACTGCATCAGAGCATTGCTGCGCCACTGCTTTTTTAAGCTTGAAAATAGCTTTATTTTTGTCTATATTTTCATGAGCTGCTCCATATGCCCTTGACTATAGGTTACTAACAAAAAACCTATCCTTCAGGCAAGTAAGAAGAATTGGGAATTCCTCAAGACAAATGTGCGTTTGCCAGAACTAAATCATCTCCCTGAGCTGAGGGGAGCGGAAGGTAGGAACTTTGAGCTCCTCTAAATAGAACCTGGGTACCCAACAAGTGTCAAGAAGCAGTGTGTCAGCCTTCACTCCCTAAACATGGCTCACCTTAGTTGTGTTTTGCAGCTCAGCCTCCCAGATTTCTGAAGAAGGAAAATAGAATGTTTGCAGAGTCCCGAGTCCCCTCCCTCGCTGCTATCGACCTTCATAACTCAAGTCTGCCTTCACAGCAGGTAGCAAGGCAATAAAGTGGTTTGTGCTGCTCTGTATTTGTTTGGTTTGCTTTGGTTTTTGGGGACTTTCTCAACAGCATGGCCCACAGAATTCCAGTTTGACTCCTAAAGGAGCAGAATTTGCCTCGGGGTTGTTAAGTCTTCCACTGTGGGAGCATTTTTGAAGCCTGATTTGACCAAAGAACAGATTTGTTTTGAATTAGGTGTTGGCATTGCATGTGTCTTTAGAAGGCTGTTTCTGATTGTCTTCTCTGTTGATGCTACACTTGGAAATTGATCCTGTCTCTTTCTTTCCCAATTTACAGCTGTCAGGGACCTTGATGCCGGATGCATCAGAAGCCACCTTCCCCAGGGTCGAGCACTAGCCCTGGGGAGATGGTCACACCTGCCTGTAAAAGGTGGGCTTGCATTCCTGCCGTGTAGCCTGCTGGGGGCTTCCAAATGCATGGTTTCATGAACACTCACCTAGGGATGGGAACTGCAATAGGAAAATTATTTTCCACTTCACATTCTTGATCAGGACATGCAGCTAGGACAGACTTCTTACAGTACACAGCTCACTGTGCACAGTAAATAATTTTCCTGAGGTGCTGGGCATTGGGGCTGGAAAAGAAGCAGCTCATGGAATTGGGGGGTTGAGCAAGTTGGTAGAACAGCAAAAAAAGGGGAAGCTGGCTGCCTGCATGTGGGCAGGGGAAAAAACAACTCAAGTTTTCTGATCTGTGAAGCACAGAGGTGTAAATGCACAGCTTCAGCAAGGTAAGGATGTGTAACAAAGCAAAATAAAGGAAGCCTTTCACCAGGGAGCACCTTTGTGTTTTGTTAGTCTGTCCAGAGTCATTCTCCTTTTCTCCTCTTGATGCAGGTGACTGAACAGTGGGAACAATCCATCTGAGTTTGCAGGGGCTAAAGCTGCCAGGTGTCTGCAGGGGAGAGGAGGATCCCTTACTCCTGTTGGTGCAGCAGACTGCACGGAAGTGGCTTGGGTCCAGGCCAAGGATGGAGCTTGCACTGCCTTTGCTGCTGGATTTCTTTCATGCAAACAGCCCCTGGAATGTTGACTTTCTGGCTTAGGGCCAGGTCTTGTCTGAGAAGAGTAGTGGTCATTGGTGTGTGACAAGGGCAGGAGCTGCTTTGGAGGACTCTGAAGGAAGCTGGGCTTTCTCTTGTCCAGCTGCTGCCTGCCTGAGAGGTTTGTTTTTCAGTGAATCCTGACAGAAGCAGCTGTCAAAATTCTCACGCATCAGTGGGCTGCCTGATCTGGATCGAAAAGCACCTTTGCCTTGACAGTGAAGAAAACATCTGTGCAAGAAATACAATATCTAAATGTGCAAATCTGCAGCTGTTCCTCTGAAACCCTCGCTAATGCACTTGTCACTTTGGTTTAGGTTTTCTCTTCACATTTTTGACCCCGCATCTGGGCAGTTGTCTTTGGGGTGTTTGCCCTGGCTATGTTGTCTGGCTAGTGTTGATAGTGAAGGAAGGAATATCCTTGTGGAATACTGAGCTGTGATGCAGGCAGCACATGGAATGTCTCAGTAACTCATTGTTCCTTTAGGTCGTCTAGGAGAATGGGACAGTAAAACTTGACTGTTTGGAAACAGTTTTTGCTTACTTGGCCTTAGTTTGTCTGTGGTCAGTTTTGGGCTGTCCCTGTCTTGCTCAAAACTTTTTTCCATCAGCTGTCACAAGCCTCATGGTGTCATTAACTTTGGAACTTATTTTTCCACAAAATACAGCCTTTCCCATCCATGGATCATGAGAGAATATGGTCTGAGTTCACTGTATTTAGGGATTTGTCTCTATGCTGTCTCTTGACATGTACATTTCATTTGTAAATAAAAAGATCTTCCAATTCTGGGCTTGACTGTCCCCATAGTGGATGCTCCACTTGGCCACAGTAGTCAGTCAGGTAGCCATGGGGAGAAGGTTTGGGGAGGAAAGAGTGGAGGTTTTTGGGGGAAAGCTGGGTTTTTGGAGGAGAGAAAGGTTTAAGGGGAAGGTTTTGCATGGGGAAGAGTGTGGCCAGCAGGTCCAGGGAGGTGATCCTCTGCTTGGCCCCAGTGAGGCCACATCTGGAGTGCTGTGATCAGTTCTGGGCTCTACAGGTCAAGAAGGACAAGGAGCTACCAGAGAGGGTCCAGCAGAGACCAAAGATGATGGAGGAGTCTGGATCATCTCTCTCAGGAGGGGAGACTCTGGGAGCTGGGCCTGCTCAGTCCAGAGAAGAGAAGACAGCAGGAATCTCATCAATCCATACAAGTATCTCCAAGATGGGTGTCAAGAGGATGGTGCCAGATTTCTGGTGTGCCCAGCAACAGGACAAGGAGCAGTGGCCAGAAACTGAAACACAAGGAGCTCTACCTCAACATGAAGAGCTCATGGAATCTACTCAGTTGGATGGGACCCGCAGGGATCACTGAGCTCAAGGAGTGTTCGGACAAAGCTCTCGGGCAGCTTGGTGGGATTGGTGGAGTTCAGGGTCAGGAGCTGGACTCGGTGATCCTGACGGGTCCCTTCCTAGTCGGAATATTCTATGATTCTGTGATTGGTCGTGGAGTTCTCTCTGGAGACATTCCCAGCCCGCCTGGACGCGGCCCTGTATCACCTGCTCTGGGTGACCCCGCCTCGGCAGGGAGCTCGGACGGGACATCTCCAGAGCTCCCCTCCCACTCGAACCAGGCTTCAGCGAGAAGGGGAACACGAGGCTTCCAGCCGGGGAGCGGGGGGAGCCATTCTGAAACCTCCAAATCCTCCGGAACCGGCTGTGAGGAAGCGGAAGAGGTGGAGCGGGACCGGGCAGCCTTGGCGGCCATGGCCACGGCGGGGGGATCGGAGGGAGGCGAGCAGGGACGCGAGCAGGGATGCGAGCACTACCGGCGGGGCTGCCGGCTGCGGGTGGGTGAGCGGGGGCCGTGCCGTGCCGTGCCGTGCCGTGCCAGGGTGGTGGCCGCTCCATGCCGTGTCCTTCCTTTGGCAGGCCCCGTGCTGCAGGAAGCTGTACCCGTGCCGGCTGTGCCACGACGCAGCCGAGGAGCACCAGCTGGATCGGTTCCAGGTGTCCGAGGTGCAGTGCAGCAGCTGCCGGCTCCTGCAGAAGGTGCGTCCGGGAGGTTATGGCCTGCTGTTGTGTCAGGGGAGGTTTAGGATGGATGGCAGGGACAGTTCTTGACCCAGAGGCACTGGAACAGGCTCCCGGGGGAAGGGGTCACGGCCCCAGTGCTGGCACAGGGCAGGAGGCATGTGGGCGTTGCAGTCAGGCACCTGGTGGGATGCTCGGAGCACTCCTGTGCGGGGCTGAGTGTTGGACATTGTGAACCTTGTGGGTCCCTTTCCAGCTCAGGATGTCCTGTCATTACAGAGCATATGGCACAGGACTGCATCCAGGCGGTTCTGGAATATCCCCAGTGAGGGAGACTCCACAGTCTCTCTGTTCCAGGCCACAGGAAGGAAGCTCTTCCTCCTGTGCAGGTGGAGCTGCCTGTGCATCAGCTTCTGCCCATTGCCTCTCGGCCTGTTTCTGGGCAGCACGGAACAGAGGCTGATTACATCCTCTTGGCACCTTCCACATCCCTGCAGACATGGCTTCGATCTTCTCAGCCATCCCTTATCAGGGCCCAGCTCCCTCAGCCTGTCCTCTCCACTCTGTTGATCACTTCTTAGCTCCCAGCTTTGCTCCAGGAGCTCCACACCCCTTTGGAGCCTGGAAGCAGGCACAGCACTCAGGACATTCGTGTCCCCTCAGGCCCAGCAGCGCTGTGAGGGCTGTGGCAGCCTCTTTGGGGAGTACTACTGTGACATCTGCCACCTGTTTGACCGTGACAAGAAGCAGTACCACTGCCAGGAGTGCGGCATCTGCAGGTGCGTGCGGGCAGTGGGCCCGGCTCCGCGGGCACCGGCCCTGCCCTGACTCCTCTCTCCACAGGATTGGCCCCAAGGAGGATTTCTTCCACTGCTCCAAGTGTAATTTGTGCCTGAGCCTGAGTCTCCAAGGAAAGCACAAGGTGAGGATGCACCACTGACCTCCATATCTTAAAAAGAAGTGCCTTGAACATGAAGCTGGATGTGCCTCAGCCCCATCTGAGGCCACAGGAACAGGGAGAGCAGTGGGTTCTCCTCCTCTAAATTCACCTAACAGCAACACAGGTGCCACTAATTGAAGACATAAGAAATTTTACCTATTGGAGTTTTACAGTATAGAAAAACACAGAAAACTACACAGCAGAATAATGTTTTCTTCTCTTTTTCCGTTTGCAAAGTGTATTGAAAATGTCTCCAGGCAGGACTGTCCAATATGTTTGGAGGTGAGCAGCCTCTTTTCATCTCCTGGATAACTGTGTGTGGCCCCTGTTTCTGATTGTGTGTGAATTGATTTTCTTCTCTTTTGTCTTATATTTGCTTCCAAACAGGATATTCACACGTCTCGTGTTGGAGCCCATGTTCTGCCGTGTGGTCACCTTCTTCACAGGTAAAGCAGATGCCTGAGCAAGGGAAACACCTGCTGCATTGTATTGGCTGTTTATTCAGCAGCGTTCAGTCTGTACCAGCTGCTTACAGCTGCTTTCTGAGGCACCTGCATTGTGGGGACAGTCTGTTTCTCCAGGAAGTATTTTCTTTAGGGGGGTTGTCTTCCTTCTCAGTCAGGTTTGACAGTGTGAAGCTCTCCTGTTACTTGGCCTAGGGATGTTTTTAATTTCTGCCATGGGGATACCTGTGTGGTTTATTCCCTTTGTGCAGCACAGGTGTGTTCCCTGTCAGTAACTCAGTTTTTCTGACTGGCCTGTGTTTCATTTTCAGAACATGTTACGACGAAATGCTGAAGGAGTAAGTATTTCCAAACATCTTTCCTCTCAATATTACCCTAGTCCAAACATATTTCTTCAAAAGGTAAAAGTTGATGCCAATTCTGCACCAACTGACTTAAAGACAGCTCCTAAAGGGATGAAGGGCTAACTTAAAGGGATAAAGTGCATATAATTTCCAATTCTGTTTGCCAGAACTTGCTGCTTCGTGCTGTTTGTTTGCCTGATACAATGTGAAACTTGTCCCTACCGATGGCCTTGTTTCATGGCCTCATTTCACCTTCTGATTGAGACGTGTCCCCCTCTTTCTGCCAGAGGCTACAGGTGTCCCTTGTGCATGCACTCGGCCTTGGACATGACCAGGTACTGGCGCCAGCTGGACAACGAGGTGGCACAGACTCCCATGCCCACCGAGTACCAGAACATGATGGTGGAGGTAAGAGGGCGCCCTTGCCTGGCTTCCCTAGAGCTGTGCCTCGGAGTTCCTGGCAGCAGAGGGCACTAGGGACCCGTGATGGATCGGGAGTCAGCCCAAGGGGTGGGGAATGCTGAGGAGCCGTCACGTGTAGGCCTAGGATGTTGTCATTGCTGTTTATATACACCCACCGCTGGTGCTGCAGCCTCTCCCTCCCTCCCTCCCGTGTGTGCCTGCAGATCCTTTGCAACGACTGCAACGCCCGCTCCACGGTGCAGTTCCACCTGCTGGGCATGAAGTGCCAGAGCTGTGAGTCTTACAACACGGCCCAGGACGGGCGGTGCCGGCTGTCCTTGGAGGAGCAGTGACCGGGGCAGGCTCGGCCGGGCCCCGGCAGAGACTGGTTTGGGAACAAAGCAACTCTTGTGTCAGTAAAAATTCCAGTTTTCCCAGTTCAAGGAGTCCTGTGCTGCGTCGGGGAGCAGGCAGGTGAGAGGAGCAGAAGGAGGAGATGTGGCGAGCGGCCGGCGCAGCAGCAGGAGGAGTTTGGGGGCAGCTGAAGGGGAAGGGAGGTGGAGAGGCAGCTCTGGGGGAAAATGGGTCGCTTTGAGAGGCCTTTGGGGCTAGTGCCAGCATCCAGAGGGCCGTGTGTGGGGATGTGGTGTTCCTGGGGATGATGTGTGTGCCTCCTGGGAATGATGGGTGTCCACAGGGACAGCGGGCAGCGGTGGCATCCTCGGCTCCCTTTGTGCATGTCACCTGTGTGTACAGAATTCCCTTGAAACAAGGGAATTGCCCTGCCTGCTGGGATGAGCAGCTGGAAGATCCAGGTGCAAAGCCCCCCTTTTCCCCCTGGACACCCATCCTGACTCACTGCTGTCTCTCTGCTCAGATTCCTTTGCCAGCTGCAGTCACTTTTTCCCTGTTTCTTCCTTGTTTTGCTCTGTTCTCTGGCAAAGGCTGAGGTGGTGTGGGATTTAAGACTCATACATAGCTGGATTTTGCTGGTTAGGTACCTAAAGTGAAACACATCCTCCACATCAGGCTGAGCCCGGGATGTTCACTGAAATAAAGCAGTCCAGGGTCCAGTTTTCTGTGGTTTTTTGGTGTTTGTTCATGGTCAAACTTCACTGGGGGGAGAACCACTGCCTTTTGAAAGAAATAAAAACCCCAGCTCCACCCTCTTTCATGTAACATTCTGCCTGAGGTGTTTTGCAGTCCTAAATATTGCAGGAAGTCCTCTGTGAATTTCACATGCAGATACTTCACAGTAATAAGATGTAAAAAAGGGTTGGTTCCTCTTCAGGTTATAATTACTCATTTTTAACTTGTTCTGTTGTAAAATGAACTTTTCTTAATCCAGCAGTGCCCGTTTTCTGTAGGGAATATTTAGGATTTGGATGGTAGCTATTGTAGCTTGCCTTGACTGGGGTATCTTTTTCTGGAGCACTTTTCTCACTGCTATAAATAAATGTTAAAAAAGGTCTCTATTAAAATAAACAAACTACACTGAGCGTGATGTGCTCTTCTTTCACACACATACTCCCTGGAAATTCCCAGCTGAGTTCAAACCATGATTCAGTGCTGAAAAATGGTTGGATGTGGGGAGGTGTGAGGCCTGAGCCACTGTCAGGAAAATCAGTGCTTTATTTTTTACAAGCTCCTGTGTTTTCATATTTTTGTTCTGTGGTACAAGCAAGACTCCCTGCTGCTTTGGTTGGCACCTGGTGACTCCACCTACTTCCCTGGGTGGAGACCTGCTCCCAGGTGAGCCTGGAAGTGCCAGTGGGGCTCCTGCCAGCCTGCAGGAGTTGTTGTCCCAGAAAACTCTGGCCAAGTAGCCTTGGAGTGTGTGGCTAATGGTAAAACCGTGCTGGTGAGGTCCACAACCAAACAGGCTTGCTGTTAAATGGGAAGCTAATTTTATTGCAGTTATTGATTGGAAATATTCTTGTTTGGGTTCCAACCACAAGAGGAGGCTGAAAGAAAATTCTAAGTTGAGCTGAGCTTAGGTGTTCGGAAGGAAAGTTATTCATGGTACGGGATCCAGGTGATTTTGACCTTTTGTTCCCCTGTGTTTGGTGTTTGCCTCTGGAAAAAGCACGAGGGAATGGGAATGCTGAGGGAATGCTGAACCACTGTTTGGTCTGTTTATCTTGGCACCGAGCCCTTAACTCCCTTTCCCAGGGAATAAATGGCAGGGTAGGAAAAGGAATGGCATTTTCAGGGGATAAAGGGCGTTGGAGGGGGGATAGAGACAGGCAAGGAGCTGCTTTATGGGATGGGAGGTGCTCTAGGGAGCTTTGCTGCCCTGTCCATGGAGGTGCAGCTGATGGGAGCAGGAAGGATGCTGGGATCAGGGCACTGGGATGATCCAGGGATGGAAGCAGCAGCTCAAGCTCCCTCACTCCCTGGCACCCGGAATCCTGCCTTGCTCACCCCTCCAGGCCAGAATCAGGAGCAGAAGGGATTATTGCTGCTTTGTGGGAAAAAAGTGGAGTTCCAGCAGGCTCAGGGGCCGCACACAAGGTCACAGAGCTATTAATAATGTCAGGGCCTGCCAAGCTCTGCGGAACATGGAGAGGCAGCAAGTGGAACAGTGCAGGGCTGAGGGGCTCAGCTGATAGGGGTCCCCAGTTTTGGGCTGGTTTGGTGCCTCTGGTGTGGTTTTGGCTTGCTCCAATAGTGTTATTTGGGATGGAAGTGGGGGTGTTCTGTGTTAAACCTCTGTTCAGCCACCCCCTCCTGGGGCAGTCTCGCCCCTGCCCGGCTGCAGGGAATCCATCTGTTTTTAAATTTCCAGCTGGAAGTGAGGGAGACGCTCCTCATGTTGTGCTGTTTATACCTCAGAGGGGCAGCATCTGTCTCTGCAGGGCTCAGCCCAGGGGTGTGCTGGGACCTCCATGCTGGAAATGGGGCGGTTTCCTTGGATTTTCTCCTTCATGGTCCCAGCTGGAGTTGGCTTCTGACACCTGCAACCAGGAGCTACTCACTCTGGTAACTCAGGCTTGGAAAGGTGGCTGATGCATGGGAATATTCACCAAACAAGAGCATTGTTAGGGAGGCCAGAGGGAGTCTGGAAGCTGGGATGAAGCTCCCAGCCAGTGAGGGAGAGCCAGGGCAGGCTCAGGGGATGGGATGTTCCACACCACGGAGCTATGCCAGCTGTTTCTCTTTCTGTATAAATAAAATAGCTCTGAGATGAAATGGAGCCAAAGGGGGGCGGGGGGAGGGAGGGAGGCGAGGGAGATGGGAGGAGGTGGAATTGAGCCAGGCTTGTGGGAGCCTTTGGGAAAAATGGGAATTGGCTGGTTTTGTAAATGAAACAAGTTGGTAGCAGGGTTAACCCTGTTGGTTTTTAAAAGAGAAGGAAAAGGGCCTTTTTTAGGGCATATCCTGGTTGCTTTTCCCCATTTTCCCCTGCTATACTGGTGTGGGATAGAAACCCCTCAATAAGCCAGAGAGTCTGAGGTGGGAATTTGAAAGGGGTGTTTGAAGGCATTGCCTGGAACACAGGCATCCTCCCTCTGAGGGCATTACCCCCCAGAATAAAGTGCTTTTTCCACTTGCCACGCGCATCTATTATTCCCTAGGCTGCCCTGTGCCTTGGCTTGTGCTGGCAAACAGTCCTGCAGATGGAAACACATCGTCCATGTCCACATCATCCATGTCACTGGGGATGGTGTCTGGTCCCAGAGAGGTGAGGAATCTGTTTTCACCCCGGGATATCCCCAAAAATATGTACAGCTTCTTCCTTGCATTGTAGGGTAAGAGAGAGTAGTTCATTTTGAGGATCCAGACACAGGGTTGAGCAGGAAAGCTGACACCCCATTTCTGTTCTCCTTTATGGAAAAGGAATTTATTCCCTTGGAGTTATATACTTTTAATTGAAGGGGATGGCTTTTCCTCTCCCTTTATTCCCTCAGTTTGGCAGCAGCAGCACAACACCCAGTTTATCGCCAGAGAAGAAGGGTGGCGTTTTTTTAATTCAGTTTGTGGTTTTTCTTAGCCAAGTAGCCTAATTTGCTGCTTCTTGGGTGCCAAAAAGATGAAAAAGAATTTTATTCATCCTAAGCATGTTCAGGGCCTGTGCTTCCCTCTGTATGCTCCCAGCCCCAACAGTTTCCAGGCTGGGTGTGGCTGAGAGGTGCAACAACCAGTCACAGGTTTACTTTCTTGTTTTCACCGAGGTCTGAGGGCTTTGCTTTCCACTGCCAGGGAATTTAGCCAGAGGGAGAAGCTGCTGAGCATCCCCTTCCCAAACCAGCTCTGCCATCAGCCACCCCCAGCCTTCCCACACTAAAAGCTGAACACAAGTTGGGGATGAAAAGAACACTCCGCTGTATTTTAGCAGCCAAGTTTTTTTGAGGAATGGAAACAAAGCTGTGGAGTGAGCAGCCACGTGTGTGAAATGGATGGTCAGTGCATCTTCCCGTGGGCTCCTAGGCTGCTTTTGGGACCAAACCCCTCACAATTAAATGGAAAAAATTAAATTAGGAACTTGTGCATGGAAGCACCTGCAGGAAAAGAAAGGGAGCAGTGACTGAGCAGCCCCATAGCTGTTCATGGTTCCTGGGGAGACAAGGCAAAGGATTTTGTAGCAGGGCAACACAGGGAAGTGATTTTAGGGAAAGGGACATGTGAAAGCACAGGAGACCCTGGCACGCTGCTGGCTCTGGCTCAGCAGCCCCCCACTCCCCCACAGATCACAGAGCAGCAGCATTTCAAAGGATGCCACAGCACTGGCTCAACCTCCATCCCCTCCCTTGACCTCCCCAGCCCCTCCCCCTGGGCAATTGGGCTTCTCTTGTCTCCAACAAGTGGCTGGCCTGCCCCAGGACCTGGTTTCCTGCTCAAAGGCCAAAATTGAGGTTTATTGTCAGCACTGCCCTCCAGTTCCTGCCATCCAGCAGCCCCGTGGTGATCCTGCCTGAGGCAGGGGCTCCGTGCCCGGCATCTCCTCGACAGCGGATGCTCTGCTGCAGAAGCGCTTACTTATAAATTAAGGGTTTTTGGGGTTTTTGGCTTCATCCCTGCTAGGAATCATCGTACAGGGGGTTGTTGTAGTTGCCCCAGGAGCCGTAGTCGTGGTCATCCAGAAGCCTTCCATAGGAGGAGTGCCTGCCAGGGAGAGCAAACCCGAGGTTACTTTGAGGATTTGTTACTTATTTTGCAATGGGATGAAGAAATATTAATGCAAAGGCTCCCTAGGTCAAGCTTTGGGATGTTTTGAGAGGAAGGACCGGGAGAAGTGAAGCTCAGATTGAATTTTACCCCCGTTGAATGAGCCTGGCCAGGGAATTAAAACCAGACCTTTGCTCATCTCAGCTGTCAGCAAAGGCTCATTAGGGATGCTCAGCACTGGGCTCTGCTGCTGTTTATTGTCCCAGCTTTCCCAAGGGATAATTACTGGATATGACTATGCTGAGCAGCATCCCTGGCATTTGAGCAGGGCTGTTGCAAAATGAGGGATGCAAACTCTGCTTTCCAGTACAGGAGTGGTGAGAAACGGAGCCCTGCTGGCACCAGAGCCCGCACATTGCCCTGCCACACCTGGGGACAGCATCTTCCTGCCACTTGGCATCATCCTGGTGATGGTAAGAGGGAGCCTCAGGGAGGGGGGCCACCCCAAAACCAGCCTTACCTGATCTTGAGGTAGGCAGCTGCCCCGAACACCAGCACCACCACCACGATGA